GGGGGGGGGGGGGGAGTGTACAAATATCTTTCCTCTTGTTACCTATCATCAATATTCCGCATGGTCCATTGTGGTGGAGCAACACTCTGACTTCTGAGGTTATCAAATCCCTAAAAGAAGTTTGATCAGAAGATGAAGAAAAAATCAATCACAAGGAAAGAATGTGTATAGAAGTTACAACTGTCAAGGTAAAAATAGCTTTTACTTCTTTTCTAGTTCTTCTTTAACTGAGGTCATCCAGAAGTGTACAACCTACTGGAACTGACAAAGAACATAAAGCTTTTCCAGAAAAAGAAAAGAAGTAGAAGAATAAGAAGAATGAAAGCATTGAAAAAACCATTACCAGGGTAAAAGTACAACCACTGGGATCATTAGTTATAACCTCCACCTTTGAAAGATGCTTCAGCTTGTAAAGCTTAACAGCCTGCATGTAGAAGAAAACTTTCATATGTGAAGACATGATCTAAAAGAACATAAAAGTAAAACCTAATGAAAAATCAAAAAACAACACTGTAATTCTTACCAGCTAAAGAATGTGATCTTGTCCAATGGTTTCCTTCTTTAATAGATTGCAATTTAATTGATTTTTTCTAAACTAATACTTTTCTACCAAGAAAAACTAGAATTTGATGAAAATTTTATCATCCATTGTTTCATTTAACAAGATAAAGAGCCTCTTTCTTCGTTTCTTTTTCCCCCTTTTTCTGCAGGAAGTTTCATTAGCAGTGACAGATAGAATGAATACTGCACTTGTGACCCAGACCACGGACAGAGCTATCTTTTAACCTATCTCACACCCCATGTGATTACTGATTCAACACTACTAGCACTCAAGATTGATTAATCAGGCAACACAGTGAAGCTCTGCACTTCTCAATCATGCTTTAATGGAGCTACCATGTCAATACCATTAGATAAAGCCTCACTCCACTAAAATTTAATAAATTCATCTTCATGTGCCATTAAACATTCTTATCAAAATCTATCAGGAATTATTTTCTTTTATTCTGCATATTCTTTTTTTTTTTTAAATTGACAAACTGGCATTTACCTCAAGTACACCTCCTGTTGAATATTTCAAGACTTGTAAGAAAGCTTTAGTCTGGGGACCCTTTGCCTTTGCTGCACAAAAAATGCAGGCCATCACTGTTGATGCAATCATCAGAAGGTTCATGGAACCCATTGGAATTTTTTAATTCAAAAGGAAAACAATAATGAAATATTTAATGCAATAATTTAAAAGAAATAGGAATCATCTCTTCCTCTGCTTGCCTCACTCCTCAACTTATCCCCATTAATTCCATAATGCAAACACTTCTTAACACAATATCAGACTTTGTTTCTAGCACATACTTCAATTAACTGCATAAGTCTTATGTATACTCATAGTTCATTGATTTCTAGTGCTCAGAAAACTATACATTGGAAAATGCAGGAACGCTACGTTGCAAAATGTCATGTGCAACAAAGTACTAGCAACCGCATGTTTCAAACTCTAGAAATTTTCTATCTTATTTACTTCTGGATAAACCGTCTGTCACCATAACAAACAAATTAGAAATTTATTAAGTCCTGAGAGATATTGGACTTTACCTCTGAGGTAAAATTCATTAACTCGTTACTTATATAGGAGAGCATCAATTCAAAAGAACATAAATCTCGATTCAGAGTGCATCTCAATCATTGTCACTTGTCAGTGCTAGATTTAGTAGCGCAGATACAGAAAGAAGTTCTAAAAATCAAAATCTAGGAAGAAAAACTCAGTGAACCACACATTCCCTCAGCCTATAAAGCAAACCACCATACTCAAAACTGCTTTAATTTTTTCCAAACTTAAACTACTTCACCAATTCACATAATTTGATTATTTCCAATTATTTCAAGATTCAACATAATCCTAGCATAATCATTGGAAATTCAGCTGGCGAAAAGAAAGATTGCTTCCTAAATGTAAATAAAGAAAGCACTACAAAACCAGAAACGAAGTTTCGAGGTGTTTTATTATCGAGAATGCAAAAGTGCGAAGAGAAGATTGATCATAGTCGTGATTTGGAAAAGAGAAGACGTACTGGATAGAGCGAGGACTCTTGGTTTCGCCATATGATTGCGGCCTAATTTGCCAGATTTGCCCCAGATCCCGCGGCTCTTGGCTACACGCATCGACAACACGATCTTCTGCTTGGTGCCTTCGATTGCCGCCTCACAGGCTCGCCGCAGCTCCTCATCGTCGGCGCTCGATTTCGCCATTATCCTTGCTCGCTTCGCTCGGATCTCTGTGTTCTCTTTCCTTCGAGTTTCTCCCTTCTCCTCACCCTTTTTAAGCGACTTGAGCTTCCCGGTAAGAATCAGAAGACAAGAAGAAAGGGCCGAAGCTTACCCAGCGCTTGAATCTTGATCAACAGTTAACAGACGGAGAAAAATGTAACGGGCTTCTAACGCTGTTTACTAAGTAGGTTGGGCCGGGCCATAATTTCTTGTTTCCTTTTCTCTGTTTTTTTCCTGTGAAACTGAAATTTCATTATTCCATTTTTCTTTTTGATGGAACATAATTTCTTCTCCTTTCTTTTCATCTTTTCTTTTTTTAGAACGTATGAGTGATGGTAGGACTTTGAAATTTTGAAAATAAAATTTAT